GCAATCAAAACACTCAAATGAAGTGCAAAGTGAAGTGATAAAACACACTATATCCGGTGTCACTTTGGATTTTGCAGTTTCTACGTGTGGTGGCTCCGTGGTAGCATTGTCTCCTCTCAGTGAGAAGGTACTGGGTTCTACACCTCAAAACCTGCAGGATCTTTTCTGTCTTAAGTTTGTATGTTCTCCTCATGTCTGTGTGGGTTTGTTCCGTTGAAAGCACAGATTACTGGAAATTATTATTGGAAGTTCTTAATTGCCCATTGGTATAAATATTTGTCTGTCACTATTTGTTAGCCCTTGTGAAGGACTGCTGACCCACCAATCACCCAGTGCATGCTTAAATAGGCTCCAACCGGCCATATTTAAAAAAGAAATGGACGGATGGGTTCTGGGTCATAAGTGCAGAACATGTCTTAAATAAAGCTCATTTTGTGTCACCATTGGATGCTTACTAGCTCCAATAGCCAGTAACTTAGATTTGCTAATTCCCACAGGCAAAGATGCAAATGCACACGCTAAAAAAAAAACCACACACCTGCAGCCTCATTTGATAACAAATGAACACCTCAGATGTATCAGCATGAAATCTAAAACATATCAATCTGTAAAGCCACCTTAACTTACCGTGTTGCACAGGAACTGTCAGTTATTCAACCTGTGTTTATCCTTCTATACCCCAGGGTCCAGCTCACAAATCAACACAACGTGTCTGACTTGACATGACAGCTCCAATAAAGTACTTTTAGTGAGAGGAATGAGGGCCTGGTTTGGCTGTAGCCCCAGCTAATATAGTAAGGAGAATAGATGTGTCTGGCACCTTTGTACTATTGTTCCAGTGCAGAGTGCATCCTGATTCGCTCTGCCTGTTAGTCTGTCCTTCCTCGGTCTTGGTGCCCTCCACCTGGTGTCTGTCAGCTGTTGCATGTTTCTTTTTCTTCCTTTATTTCTCTCTGTCTTTCTTATCTGTCTTTGTCTCTTTTCGTCGCTCCTCCTCTCACCAAAACCGACACTGAGCTTCCGAGCAGGAAGTGAGGCGCGTTCCGAGATGCTACAACATTAGAAAGCAGGCAGCCTGCGGGCCTCGTCATTTAGTCTAATTGATTCTCTTAATTGTCGTAGGAAGACCAGAAAGTTCCTGCCTTTTTCTCCCCGTCTGTCTTTCAGCGTGTTAATCATGCCCGTTTGTGGCGGATGCTCGCCGGCGGTGAGTTAAAACCATCTGACGCAAATTCCAATTCCTGCCTGGACCCCCAGACACATCGAGCAGATGTGAAATCCATTTTGATGAGAGGAGCTTAAAAAAACGAGAGAAGCAATAAAAAACAGATTTGTTGGAACTGAACTGCCCAAGAGATGCTGTCCTTACGTGAGCTTAAGCAAGACTGACTGATTGCTCATCCTGGTGCCTGAGCAAGCACAGACAGGCACCCATAGCCCTGTTCTTTTGCTAAAAAGTGTTAAAATATACTTTATATATTCCTTAAAAGGTCAGCAATTTTTAAAACTTTTTTTTGGGCTGTGTAAATTAAAATACTGTTTAAATGTTGCCTTGAATCAAAGCTAAAAAAAAAGAAAGAAAAAATGATTAACACATATGAGCAGGCATGGACAAGTGTGAGTGTGTGAAGTGAAGCTTCTTTTCAAAAGCAAAAATTCACACTGCAACAGTGCCTGTTGACCTTCTTGATGCTTAATGACACTCTTTTCAACAGGGGTCCCTCTTGATTATTGCCCCTTTCAGGCTTGTTATGATTGACTCAGGACACAGTGGCTGATGGGTAATGATTAGCGGAGGCCTGGCTAACCAATCAAAGCAAGTAAATTAGCGCCGTTGCTTTCCCACCATCCCGTATTGAGGACTCGCTGCCCGTCTGTGTCTTCAGCAGGCCTTTCCATCTCGCCTCGTCCCTGTCATTAGCGGGCTTAAGTGTCAGTACAATCAGGCAGAGCGCTGGTCCAAGTCTGGCATGCTTGCACACACACACACACACACACACACACACACACACACAGTAAATGTGCACATTCTTCTACACTCAGGGTCTCACGCACAATAATGCACTCACATTCACAGGCACAATCAGTCCGTCACTTCAGTGCCTCCTCTCTTGCTCTCTTGCTCTCGCTCTCTCTCTCTTTCCACCTCTTTCACGCACACAAACACACACATACACCCGCTGGGCCTGGTCCCAGGAGTCCTTTCATGGCCAGTGATTGTCATTCGCAGCTGGCTGTATGACCTTGATAGGGATAACAGAAGCACCACTGAGGGATGCTACTGCATACTCTCTCTTCACACACACACACACACACACACACACACACACACACACACTCTCACAGACGCACACAGACACTGCGGCTGAAATCCTCCCTCCAAAAATACAAGGACATTGGGAGAGTGTCTGTTGGTCTGAAGTGTGTGTGTGTGTGTGTGTGTGTGTGTGTGTGTGTGTGTGTACAGAATTTGCATGATAATGATTCAAAGTGATGTTTTCTTTGGACCAACTTATACGTTCGAAGGCACACTCTGCTTCGCACAGCATATTCTTCTCTTGATTTCTGACACTCACATACACAGAAAAAAGTGCATTTTTACAAGTTACATAAGTTTCGTGAGAAGATGTCTGTGTGTGTATATATTTGTACATACCTGTGTTGCCTTCCACAGGTTTTTGTTTGTTGCCCTCCTCACACCTGACAGGAGCACAGACAGCAGGAGGTGTTATCAAGGTTTAAATACACACAAACACACACATTCGGGTGCCGATCCATTGTTCCTGGTGCTCATTTTCTCAGTGTGCTTCGGAGGTGTTTGGTGTTGCGGAGCTGCGCCACACCTCCTGTCATCTTCCCGCAGTATCACGAGCCCCACAGTCTTTCATGTCTGCTCGGCTGGTAATGAGAGCTGATAGAAAGAGGTGAGAGTCTCCCATCAGTCCTCCCACACACACAGAGGGAGACAGACTCAGCTGAGACAAAGCCACTGGGTGCACGTTTCTATGCCAGCATGCTTGGAAGTTGGAAGTCGGAGTGTGTGTGTGTGTATGCGCAGTGCAGATTATCACACTTCTTCCCCATAGAGACATCTCCTAATCACACTAAACTTCTCCTGACACTTCAGTTACTCTTCAGCTGAAGTTACTGTGTCTTTATCAGCGATTTCTCCCTCTACCGCACTCTACTTCCTCCCTTCTCACTTCTGCATTCTCCCCCCCCCCGAACGTCCGCGTCTATTCAAGTTTGACGCAGTGCCATCTGTGAATCCAACTAATGTCGCACCTCTTTCTTTCTTTGGTTTTCTTCATCTGACCCAGTTTGTCACTCTCAGCAGGTGCCGGCTGCCACTGTGATTACTTCTCAGAAATATCTCTGTCCTGAATGACAGCTATTACACCTGTGTGAGTGTGAGTGCGAGAGTGTGTGTGTGTGTGTGTGTGCGCTTGCGTGTGCATAAGTGGGTTTTGTATATCAGTGTTTGTGTGTTCAGAGAGATGAAGAAAATACACAACGATGAACATACTGCCCTGTATGATTAGGGATGTCTAACACAAGTCATAATAAGAGAAAGTACTTCCGATATTACTGCTGCAAAAATCTTGCAGATTACAAAGCAAAGAACAAGGCTAAGAAAGATGGAGAGCAGGGTGAGTAGTCAAAACGGGGGAAGAGGAAAGACGCAGGAGAGGACAGAAGAGAGGAGATTTGTTTTAGGCATAAGGGTATCATCCACATATAATATGCAGTTTTGACATTTCTCGCTCTCATCATTCGGTATGACAAACAAAAAGAGCAGAGGGAGTCAGCGCAGAAGGATGCAGCGCAGACAAGTGGAAAATGATGAATGAAGAATGAGACATGGATGCTTAGTGGAAGAGCAAGGCTGGACAAAGTAACAAGCGGGGCGCGAGACCAAGAGGGTATGGAGGGAAAAGATGAAGCGGGACATGGAGATAAATAGCAGAGAGCTTTGGAGAGGCTATAAGGACTTGAGCTTGTAACACTGCAGTCTCATCTCCCATGCTCTTTCAAGTGGGGAGTAGAAAGGCCTTCATTTTAGTTGCCGTCCCATGGAAGTGCGCTCTCATTAAAGGTGACCTCATGGCACCCCTCTGATCATGAGACACAGCGCGGGGGGACCGTTTAGATCCTTGACACACAGCAACAATGCTGAGGACCAGAAGGATGTGATGGTGACAACCCTGTGTCTGTTTTTGTGGGTGCGGAATACACTGGCATTTAGACAGTCTGGGAAGATTTAGACAGTGACACATAACTGTGCTGTTGGCTATGTACTCCAGCACATTTGATGATGGAAATGATGATTACGAGGTTAAAATGTTGACTTTCAGCTCTAATTTGAGGGTGTCCACTTTTAGCTGGGAAACATCAAAAACCTTTTAATTGAGACCCTTTACCACACTGTCTGTACATGACCCTGAAATAATCCAGCACATACAACAGAAAAACACCTGTGACAAAACATTTTTGTATGAATTAAACAACGTGGTAATTACTAAGCTTTGGAGATGCTGTTTTTCTTACCTTTTACCCAAGCTAAGCTAGAAAACATTAGTTTATCAAATATTGTACATTGTGTTCCCCTGAGCCACTTAACCCTTTGTCATTCTGCAGAAAATCAAGGAGTGTTTCGGTGGATTTGTCAATAAACCTTTATCACAGCAGACATTTCATAGTCATAGCAACAAAAGCACAAAAGGTCTATGCTGTGAATTATCTAGGCAAGTTGCTGTTAAGTACACAACTTTGTCAAGTATGTCTACACATCAAGTTTTGGCTATTTTGGTTTATTATTTGATCATGTTTTCCTCTGTAACATCTGCCATGAACTCAGGATCTGCAACCTCTACCAGGTCTGCGGCTCTTGTTGCTGTTTTTGTTGTGCTACGTTAATCTAACATGCTGTGCTTTCTGTGTGTTTCTTTTTATAACCTTCCCGTTGCTGTGGTACCTGCGGATGCTGCTGGCTACGGCAGTCTCATGTGAGTATATCTATCCAAGAAAGTCCCTGGGTCAGATCACTCCTGTGTGAGAGAATAGAATTGTCAGCCAACTAACTTGGCAGCACTCCTCAAAGACATAACTACTGTACAAGGCCATTTCACAAGGTTTGGTTCTAAATCTTCCTCACATGGCTTAACAACGAAAACGATAATCTACAGAACATTCACAGTTAATTATTAAGGAAGGGAGTTTTATATTTATTTAACTGTTCCAGTTTCCTAATCTAAAAGGAATCCAACTATCCCTTAACAAGTGGTCACAGCAAGACTCCAGTGCTCAGGGAGATGATGCTAACTTTCGTATTTTACACGAGTTGAATTTGCCAACTGATGAAATTCAAATCAAAGTCTTGTGTGATTATACATTTTTAATTGGTAGCTATCAGGGATTTGCATCACCATTCAAGGCGCAGTAAGCTCCTTTTGCTGAAATGTATGTCAACAGATTCGAATAAAAAGTGTTTTTCAGTATGCTGCTCTTCAAAAAAAAGGAATAAAATAGAAGCAGTAATACAGTAATTCTTTGCTTCAGGAAATTGGCTGAGTCAGAATGAAAGGGGAAAAGAATAATACAATTGTTCGAGTTGTTGATGTCTGCGTGTCTGTCTGCAGGTGATTTCAACAGAGAAGTCAGGGAACCATATCTTCCGACTGACAGGCCCCGGTGCTGACCAGGATCCCAAAGGTCTCTTCACCATTGACATAGACACAGGAGACGTGTCAGTCAGCCGCTCACTGGACCGAGAGGCCATTGAATCCTACCAGGTCAGTGTGTGTGAGTGTGCCTTTGTTAAATCTGGTGCTTATTGTGTTTGTGTGTACTTCCTTTTCTCTCCTTTCTAGCCACCAGGACACTCTATCTCTGTCGGAATCCTTTTTATTGTTTCCTTGTCAGTTTCATTGTTTGTGTAGTTCAGTTCCTGTTTTGTTTACTGAACATTTCCTTTTCAACTCGGCCCAGTTATTCATTAGAATCTGTAGTTCAAACACAATTTATTTATCAGTTTAAACCTATGTTCAACATAGTGGCATATGTGGCAAAAAACTGAACATAGGATTTGGGTGGTGAAAGAGCGCTTTGATTTTGTAACCCAACATACATACAGTATGTTGGTAATGTTGTTTAGGACGGGATGGGCTTCGTCTAGGCTGAATTATCAGTTGTAAGTTGGTGGTTTCCTCTGTGATAAAAGAACACTAGAGCCTGTTTGAGGTGTTTGCTGGGTTTGGTGCCCTCTGGGTTGCCTGCCTGACGAAACCATTTCCCCCAGAACAGAAAGGGAGAGAGAGAGAGAGAGAGAGAAAGAGAGAGAGAGGGGCAGAGAAAATCTACTTTTTAAGTAAGTCAATTGATCTTATCCTGTTTTCTGAAACCAGACGTGAGTGCGGGCGTTCAGCCGGATGCAAGCTGTTGATAAGCTAACTGGCTTTTGTAAAAACTCAGAAATGATTCACTCTGTAAATACCAACAGATGTGAGAGGAAAAAACAGGCAGGAGAAGAACAGAGAGGAAAGCTGAGAGGAGCAAACACATATTCACCAAATGTCTTTAGTTTTTCCTGCTCTAGTATCATTGCTTACTATTACATGCATGGTGTAACCAGGACATTGGCTTTCTGTGGTTACGGTCTGATTCTGATTGTTTACAAGCACCTTTGACACCCAATAACTAAGCATCCCATCTCCTGAATAATCCGTTTGACAGATAGAATGGTCTGCTAGAACGACAGGACATCAGCTGCAGCCTCCCTTTATAAATGAACAATATGTTACTCTGAATATGGAAAGAAAGGATGATCCTCTGTTGACACCACACTGTGCCAATAACAGCGTGAGGAACATGTTTACATGCCACATTAACCCTTACAACATGAGTATGAGCTAAATGTGGTAATTCTGAGTTTTGACACATGCGTTCATTAAACCAAAACCAGAACAGCCAAGCTTTGGATGTCTCCACATGCCGGAGCCGTATGGATGAGCCTGTATTAAGAGTTACACTGCATTTAAAGTGTTAAAAAAGTGTAAGGAATGGGTCAAACAGTATGTTTATCTGCTCTACTGTAAGCTGCAAACTCCAGTAGTAACCAAGCATTGTTTCCAAGGCTAAGGAGCACATCATTAACTAACTACATTAGTAGTTACTACTATGTTAGTTCTCATCTGGTCTTGAATGCGAAGGGAGGAAGGATAAAGAGGCATTTCAAGTGCACTGATTTCTGTTATTATAAAGCTTTTTTCATCTTTTTTTATTTTGTAGTAATAGCCTACTATTGCTTAAGTTTGTCCTTATGTAGAGTCTAAGAGAGTATGTAAAGTATTTTAGTCACAGACATCATTGAAGTACAGAAACTATATAAATTGAATTAAATAACATGAATACAAATGTGACAAGGTCTGTACTTAATGGGAACTTCAAACATCCTTGCAATGAGATAATCAAACAAGAACAGAAGAAAACAGGGTCAAACATCAAACTTGGCGAGAATATTTTGAAGCAGCTCCCCATATCTGGCATTTCTAGCGCGTTCAGAGTCAAATGCCATACGCAAATGTGCTTATCTAATAGTTTTTATAATATCCTCAGAAGTGAAGTGACAGCTCAGTAAAATAGTAAAAAAAAAAGTTTTTCTGTCCTTGTTGGCTATAACAAAAGTTGGTACGCAAAGCTCTGGGGAAGAAGACAAAGAGAAAATTGGAAAAGAGGACAGCGAAGAAGAGTGAAGAGCAGAGAATAGGGGTCTGGGGACCTTCTCCATAAAGATTTTATTGTGTTCAGTATGGAAAAGTTTAGCTCAGCACAGAGATATTTAATGACACAGTGATTGAGCTGAATCAAACGAAAGGGAGTGAGATTAAGAGAAAAAAGAAGACAAACTGTGGAAGAGAAATAGGAGAGATGTGGAGAGCACAAAACACAGTCAGACCTAACATACATAGATTTTCTGAATAACATTATTTAGTAATTAATACAATGTCAAGCTGTTGGATTGTCACTGATTTATCATCATACAGGAGCTCATGACCTTAACAACAACAACAACATTATCAAAATATATATACATCAGGCAAGATAAGAATGATTTATGAGAACAGCTTCTGTAGACTTTATTATTATTGAGTATATTACCTGCCAAAGGTAGCGATTGGACATTTAATTGTGTTTGATAATGCTTCATTTTTACATGGAAGATTGTGTTATTTTTTGGAATTAGCTTTTTCAAAAATGGCTATCCAGTCCTTTTTTTGCATTTTGCTGTTGGTTTGTGACACTACAGTACAAGGGCGCTGGAAAACACGTCACTCCTCGAGTGTATCGGCTCTGGTTTAAACAGAAGCAGACTTTATTGAAACTGTCAGTCAGAGACGTAGCCAGCTACGAGCAAGAGAAAAGAGATTTAATATATTCAACTTGTCTCAACATCTAACCACAGTCCACCATGCAGATAACTTAAAGCCCCCCTCCACTCAAGAATATGTTCTTATCTTGTTCCTACAGTGGGATGTTTGAGCTTCACTGTGCAGAATGATGTGTGCAGAGTTTGACACTAGAAGGATGTTTTCACATTCATCAGCTGGAAGTGGAAAGTTTCTCTGTGCTCAGTAAAAATCTGATTTTAAGGGGCGGGTCCAATTCCGAGAATACAGTGAAGTAGGAGACATCTTGTATCCAGCAGTCAAACTTGCATTATTCACAGATTGTGGAATTTTTAATAAGGAAGAAGGAGTAGATTACCTTTTAAGAATTGAAAAAACGTATTAAACCGACATTATTGTTTCAAGCTGAAAAAAGAATTTCAGTTTCAGTTTTCTTTCTACCTTTTTTTTGTTTTTGGATCTGCCTGCTTACTCTAGATTAAAATTAGTCTGCTTCCAAAAACGCCCTCTGATTTTGCCTTCATAGTCTGACCATAAAAGCCCAGAGATTTAATTGAAGGCTTTCATCAATGGCTAAATAATTCCATCATATTGAAAAACCTGGATCAGTCTAATATGCCATTGTTTCAATGGCCTGGAGTGAATAAGCTTCTAACACCAATTATGCCATCACTAATGATCATCATTATTTCCAAACTGATGTAATCCCTGAAGGCACGCTGCTACGCCTCCCTGTGCACATGCTGCACTGTACATGTACATTATGCACTAGCCCACACGTTGTACACACAGGCTTCTCCCTCTGCTTTTTTATCTTTTCCGAAGCAGGCCTGCCTGATATCTTTCTCTCTCTCCCCTCTTATCATAGGGAGATAGTAAGTCTGTGTCCCAGTCATAACTCAGAACAAGGGTCTCCTATCAAATGCAGCTTCGCCTTTTTATCGATGGTCCAACACTGTGTGCAGAATGAAGACTGTATCACTTTATAGTGCCCAGTGGTCCTTGCAGGCTGTCCATTCATTAGGGGTGTCTCCTTTCCCCACTGTAGCTAATGGCTTGTGTGGGGATGTAACATGAAATATTCAGAGGTAGATTAAAATCACCATTACTCTAAAGGCATTTTAAAGGCAAAGTGAAACGAGTAGCTCAGGGTCTTTCACTATTATATGCCAAAGCCTTTTTAAACATATTAGATGTATCTGTTAAAGCTGCTACAATCAATATTTTTTTATTAACATTGGATCACATGACTACTTGTATGTGAAAGGGTCCAGTCCAAGACATACATCATCTGACTCTGCAGTTCTTCTCACTTCCACAAAACGTTTTAGTGTCTTCTAACTAATTGATTTGGTTTTCTGGGCTGCAACTTTAATGGTGTTTGGTTCAGTTTCTCTGCTCTTATGGGGCCGCAGTTGTTTTCACTAAGAAACCTCTGAAGCCTCCACTGTAAACAACCCACCCAGCACCAAATGGCAAACAGACTAAGTTAGCGATTAGCTGGTGAGCCATATAACAACTCTGCACAGTGATACAGTGTGTCATTGTTGTGTTTGCAGAATTGTTTTCTGGCTGAATTAAATAAGTAATTGCAGGCTTAGATAAACTGTTTGTTCACACATAAGTGCTTTACAGGTAAAGTCTTTTGATTTCTGGCATGTTATTTAACAGTTTCACTGATTGGTCACACTGAGGCACAAACATGTAAGATGATGATATAAATCTCCAATACATGTTTTTTGAAGTAACATTTGAGAGCAAATGTCAGTAAATGTCAAGTTTATCCATGAAGAGACATAAAAGAACCCCATCATGTTCGCTGTGGGGGCATTTCTTTAAGATATACAGTGGATGTTGTTTTGGATGTAGATTACATCTTTCTCTCCTCAGTGTGGCTCCTCACGTTCAGGGTTATATGTCGAACTCAATGTCTGTGCAACCGGCTCCTATTCACCACAGACCCCCCTGGTAGTCTTCTTACCTCCCTGTACATTTAAGGCATGCACTCTTCCTTAGGTGCCGTTGTCAATACACAGCAATCTCTCAATGTACCAAGGTTGTATTGAACGGACCCTCCACTTCCTTCCACCCCCTTCTTCCCTTCTCCTCCTTATTTTAAGGCATAATGATGAATGATTGATATTGGCAAAGAAATGCTTCACCCTCCCCACAAGGTCATTGTATATCAAAATAATAATATCACCACAGGCTTAGAAAAAATGAAATCGATAAAGTTGACTTGCCTGGTTTCTAAATGCAGTGGTCAGAGTTTTGGAGGCTCAGCTTGAAATATATAGATGCAGACACTGTTGCAAGTGAAAGTACAAACTAAGCAAAACTTGGGAAACACATTAAAGAAAAGCACGGTCTAACTTCAGCATAACAAC